GTCATCTTCCTCTACACCTTTCAGATGTAAGAGAAAATAAAGGACTCAAACATGCATGAATCACTCCTAACTGTGCAGAGGTTACGTCCCCTTTAACACCCTTATAGCTATGTCAGACTGAAGCAGAAAGGACAAAGGTGGCCCGTCTTATTAGTCCGCCCCTGCCCATTGCGAGGGGACACGGCTGATCGGCGGTGAAAGGTTTTAACGATGCCGCCGGGTCCATTACTCATTCATGTCCTCTTGATGAGTGCTCAGGTGCGGTTAGACGCTGGCATGGAAATGAAAGGGTCAGGATGTGGTCTCATGGAGTGCTAATAATGACATACTGAGAGGGCAACGGTCAGACAGCCAGGTTAATGCATGTATCATCATTCACCGCTAAAATCTATGCGTGATCGACTGAGCGGCATAAATATTCAGATACATACCGTGCCATGCCAAAGGTGTGTGTTGATAGTGGAGCTGCTGAGCTGACAATGAAGAATGTGTTTAAAATCATCTAAAAAAAACATGTGGCTCACTGATTTGAAGCCATACTTCACTTCAAATCAATTCAAACAGTTGTTATCTCTGAGGACATAAATTAGCAATGTGTATGATTTTCAAGTCATCATTAAATGGCCCTAATCTGTCAAAAGTTATTAATAAACCATTCTCTTTTTAAATACGTCTTTAACTGATAACAGCAGCTCAGAGATATATGAATTTCAAAATTAGTTTTACAGGCCCTAAATCTTGTTTTTGTTTTCATTTCGATGTCCCGCCCTCCACCAATCAAAAAGTCTGTGATCCGGGTTGCCAGAATTCACCCCGTCAAGCTAATCTCACTGGTAAAGTAACATTCAGGCCGCAGTACTAATGATAAAAGGTGTTGGTTATGGATTTGTTGTTGAAAAAACTCTTCAGCTAATATGATCCCAGCTGGATTCGTCTGCATATCTGGCAACCTGAGTCAGGGAGAGTGGGAGGGGCTGCAGCACCACTTTGGCCTTATTTTTTACACACTGCTCCTTTAACAAAACCGGTGAATTCGCCAACACATAGAGAATAGAGAGCACATACTGTAGGTATTGGTCCATAGGGGGAGTTTACCATTGTCCACAAGTGTTATTGAATGATGTACCTGTATGTGAAAGCCAGATCCTGTCAGACCTCGGAAGCCAAGCAGGGCAGGGCCTGGTTAGTACTGTGATGGGAGACTTGTGGGAACACCAGGTACCACAGTGGGGAGACTGCGGCTGTAAAGTGCCAAACTGTGGTTATATTCTTATGGCAAGACACTTCACCCACATTAGAATGAGTTGTGTTTATGAATGGTCAGTGGTGGTGCGAGGGATCAATGGCACAAACTGGTCGCCTCGTTTCTGACAGTGTGCCTCAGGGCAGCTGTGGCTACAGTAGTAGTTTATAATCACTGTGTATGGAGTGAATGAATAAAGACATGTGAAGCTTATTGTCGGTGGCACGTGGTTAGAGCTTGTGTTTCACATTGATTCCACCTCCAGGCCTTTTTCTGTGGAATTTGCATGTTCTACCCGTATCCGCGTAGGTTTCCTCTGGGTGCTCCGGTTTCCCCTACCACTAAAACCATTTGCAATAGGTATGAAAGTAATGAGTGAATGAATGAATGTTGTTGTGTACGGCCTTCAGTGCTTGAAAATCCAAGCACTTTGGGTGACGTTGGTCTATAAAATGCGCTTTATAAAGAAACATAATCAACTTATTTGAGTGTCCAAAAAAGCGCTATATAAAACCTATGCATTATTATAATTTTTTAACAACTGTTTGAGTATTTGTAAAAAGATTGGTCATTGCAGTGGAGGCCGATGCGTCCGCTCTCTCTGCTTTGTTCCATTTGCCAGTGCTTTTCTCTGCGAGGCGCGTCGTTATTCTCCCCGTATACAAACGTTGCAAACATCACACCACGCTGCTTCACATGTTTACCAAGCTCCGTCTGAACGATTCTTCAGATGCAGCGCGGTGTGCGGCGTGCGCGGTGCGTTCAGGCGCGCAGCTGCAGTTTCTCTGATGCATTTTTAAACAGCCGGCCATGTGTGCGTGAAGGTGTCGCTCCGAGTTCATGATGAGAAACGCTCCCAAACACCGGCAGACGCTGCACTATCGCCGCCTGAAGCCGCTCCAGTTCAATGACGCTACGAGAGCAGAGGATATACTTACCATTCATCAGAATAAGAATCACAATCAGAAGTTATTTTTATTGCCGTTGTGAGTAACAGGAAGTCACACACTGGGAAATTGCTTTGGCTCTTGTGCATAAAAATAATAAATCTACATAACATTTCTTAGAACTATTACTATATACAAGTGCACTAAGTAAACATATGATTCAAAATGTTACAACATTGTTTCTCATCAAAAACAGACCAGGAGCTGTGTTTAGATCAACTTGAATCTGGACTACGGATGGAACGTTGCAATGTTTTAATGCACATTGTCCTTATATAAATTAAACTTTAAACTCTAAATCCAGACTAATATTTTCAATCCAATTCAATTCTCTCTAAAAGACTTCAACAAGTTATGGTGCCGTGGCAAGAGCTCTGATGTGTGCCGTCTGGTGCACACTGTGGTCGTCTTGCACAGTTTTTCCAATGTGGTTTTACTGCAAATGGCAAATAAATTCTTAAATCTTAAATCTTGAAACTTATTTCTATAGTTTGTGGATGCTTTGTGAAAGAAAACTCCCAAGAAAGCTGCATCGTCGTTACAGTGAACAACAATAACACATGTCGAGATTGCTTTTGTCTGTTTAAAAATCTTTGTGCGATGATAGTATGATGTAATTGTAAAACACATCACACTTTTCTAGGTCCATAAATTAGTTTTGACAATTTCCTAAGAGAAATAACTGAGCTACTGTCGGCCACATTCTATCCATTTTTTAACAAATACATATGATGTAAATCGCCCTAAAATCTGTACTAGTACTGATAATACTACAATTTTCCATCATTATTTTGTAATTTAGCTAATTTTTCAAAACATATACAGGTGAGACAATTACATTATTATGATTATTAGATTAAATTGTTGTCACTCAAAAGTCCATTTACAATTTCAAACTGATATGTGATCAATGCGTTACGGACAAAGTGAATAATGGACTGTAAACCATAGCTGTCAATCTTCTAACACACAAAGGTCTATATCATACATTGACTTCACAAGTAGAATTATTAATAAATACTTTTTAACAATGTTCTAGTTTTCATAGTTTCGCCTGTATTTTTTCACACAGAGAATATGCCAAACTTGGAATGCCATCGGTTCTCTCCTCCAGGTTCTGACCAAGACCAGACTTGCTGAGCGTGACCTGATCAGGCTTTAGTGGACGGTGCCCACTTTACCAATGCACACTAATTTGTAAAGAGGCCACCGCAGCATACGTGGGCCAAGAGATCTGGGTTGAATGCAAACACTGATATTCATAACTGATGCATCTAGTTTTGTTTTTGGCTCCAGTCAAAGTCTTTACAACAACTTATTTTTGGTAACCTCCGTTTTTGTTGTGGTGTAAGATTTGCATATTTACAAGCTTGGATCTATTCAAAATTCTCTAGTTAACCGCTTGGGAGGCTGGCACTTTCCCAATATATTTTGTTTTGGGCGAAACTATTGAACTGAATGGATGTCGCGTTGGCCCGTCTCAGGCTTGTGCGTGTGCAATGCTGCATATTTAATATCTGTCATACTATCGACACTTTTACTTGTTCCGTGCTGTGTTCTTTGGCTCGCACAGCTCCCTTTTCTAGGTTGGCTTGTTTCACACTTATTTCCACACGTCTGGTGCGTCTTAAACACGAACACTGATATAACACATTTATGATTTGTGAATTATGTAGTTTTGTGAGAACATGTTTCTAGGACAGGCTTATGAATGCTTGATGGCAGCCGCACCATTCGTACCTACGAGTTTCAAATGTGGGCTTTCTGAATCCTGTTTGATGAAATACAACAGCAGGGTCACCGCCAGCTGCTAAACTTTCATATGATGTGTATTATTATTATTTGATGTATTGTTGTAAGTACCATGTGCTTGTTCGGAAAATATCGCAAGGATAATTCACATGTGACAATCCTAATATTAGTGATTGATCACAACATTCCATTTAGCATATTGATTATTTTGCTTTAAATGTTATTCATTTTGATGAGTTATCCCTGGTATTTTCACGTTTTCTGCAGATCTGCTCTCATTCCCAAGGATTATTTAGCTTTATTTAGGTACAGTCCACACACACACGCACATAAACATACACACACACAAAAGTAATTGCATTTAGAAAAAATCTTTATGAAAAAATGTCCTACAAATCCCTATAATTTGAATAATCCATGTGTATGAACAATTTACAATAGTAGTACTATATATGAAGCATTTTACATGAACTCAATCTGCACACGTAATTTTTTTCTTCATCAATGACATTCCTAAAAATATGAATTTGTAAATCCCAAAGAAATCTAACTTGTGAGTGTAATAAGACTTGAGGATGAGACACTGCATTCTGTATTGACTCTGATACAGAATTTTCCCATTGACCCTGAATGTTTCTTTTGTCATTTCAGGTGTCCATCAACATAACTATAACCATGTGGCGTTAGGTAGCCCCACACGCACCCCTAAAAATGGTAAGAGCCCGGAGGAGCCTTCATAACTGACATGCTGCTGTGATCTGTTAGGGATGGGTACCAGGGGTGCCGTGGGACCCCAGAACGCTCTCCATGATTTTACCAGGGGTCTCAAATGCGACAAAGTAAATTATTATGAGAGGGGTACCACAGGGGTGTCCTTTGGGGCCATTACTATTCGACGTATATTAATCTACGGAATCAGGGGTGTCCTATCCCCCACTGACTCTCTGCTGTCATCTAAATGGGGGGCATCAGTGTGAGGTTCTGACAGGTCTAAATCTCTCCTGTCTGCAGCGTAACATGGGTGAAAAGGCACGTATTAATTACTGTAAGACGCACAGATGTTTGCAGAGTGCCGGGAGGTGGGGTACAGGCAGTTTGGGGAGGTGGAGGGGGGGCACAGCCTGGCAGATGTGAAGCAGCGTCAGGAGCAGGTCTGCAGGGAGGAGCGCGCCATGAATATTCACTATTTAATAACTCACTGTTTGTTTTAGAGCGGGCAGAAAGAAGCAGTGTCTAGTCTACTCTAGAAATAACAAAGAGATGCTCCAAAGTGCACAACCAGATTATGAGAAGATTTTAAAGTGCATTACAATGTCGTGGTGATGGGCTTCTATCCTTTCAAGTCTCCTTTTCCTTCTATAAAGATTAAACCAACTGTCCGGACAGATAGGTGAACGTACCCATGTTTTAATAGACTTAATGTAAAAATATTACACACAAACCATTCAAAATGCTTATAAAATAACTTGATTCTAATTTGTCTTATTCTGTATCACGTCATATTTTCTTTCTGAGGTTTTTTTAGGCCAAATCAATCATTGCTAAGTCAAGTTTTCTTTTTATAGATCACAAACTTGAAGGTAGCTGCTTTATAAAAACAGCCCCAACACTTTAATATTAATGAACACTATAACTTTGCCAGGATAGTGTAACATCACGCCTTTATTTGCATAAACCAGAATAGAAGTTGCTGCCCTGACACGACCAGTCATCCCCTCAATATCAGGGATCAACGTGCCAAGGTGTAAAGGTATGGGATTTTCTTCCCGTGGTCATCTAAAGTGGTATGCAGGGGCCGAGCGTAAAAAATAAGAATGTTATAATATTGTCGTGATTATTTTTTGTTTAACATTGTGTTCCTTTTGACTGAAATCAATGGTATACACAATGGGGCGTCTTACGTTGAGGCTATTTCCCCCAATAAATACGACCTCAATTTTAGGGCCGCGTGTTACTTTGGGAATGGCTGATCTAGACTATTGATCCTCCTAATTGTCGATCATTCTGGTGATATGCAAGACACAAGATAGGCGTTCCCTCTGATGTACTTTCCTAAAATTCGGGAAAATCCTCCCATATACCTTTAATTTTTAAAGTTGCGAGCCAATACTGATTAAACTTGTGGGTCAATATTTTTCCAGTCCATGATTCCAATCATGTGACCCGCAGTGAGGAGAAAGTAGGGAGTTAATCTCTAAATAGCCCTTTATTTAATAGCCCTAATTTCACAGCTAGTCTCACAGCTAACAGACACGGCGAATGTACAAAAGACACCAGGAAAAAAACGGAAAATCAACTTTAAAATCTGAAGCATTATTCTGTTATGTATGCTTAAGTCACACCGGTCATATACACTTTAAGAAACATTCTAAATCAAAAAATTATTATAATCTGGTTGTGTACTTTTGAGCCACAGTGCAAAGTGGAGGAAGCGGGGAGCAGAGAAATGTCCCTTACACAGTGCCTGTAACATGAGCCTTGGTAGGAGTACAGCAGGTGACTGAAATGTGTGTTCTTGGGTTTGGTTTGGTAGCGCACCGTTCGTTGAGACGCGGTAAGTCCAGCCCTGCGTGCTGTGGTGTTGGCCATCGTTGTACATCCTCTCCACCCCTTCACCCCTTCACTCCTTCACCTCCATAGTGCCGCTGTGACAGTCGTAGAGTCGCAATGTTTTTTGTCACAGTAATTGTCTCATGATATTTAACGCGGAAACGATCAAGTCTCAGGGACATCGACGTTGTGACTGGAAGCTGCTCACGCCCTGTGTTCACCTGCCCTCGTCTGGGATCACAAAGGCTGTTTAGAACACTCTAGATCAGGGGTCGCTAACCTTTTGCATTAGAGAGCTACTTTTATGAAACAGAAATGATAGAGTGCTAGTTCTTGTAGCAGTCATAATGCAATTGTAGTCCATATAAAAACAACCCCAACACACAAGCATAACATACCATTATACCGCACAGCATCTCTGCATTCATGAAACGGTTTATAGTCAAAATAGAAATGTAATGACTGAAAAGTGAATTGTTCAGGGATCATGGGTTAAATTCTTGAATACTTTGGGGAGCTTTGGAAGGGGGTGGCGAGCTACCGGTAGCTTCCGAGCCACAGGTTGGAGACCCCTATCCGGAGCTTTACCACACTTTAAAAGAGAGCATAGTTTAGCAAGACTCTGACCTCATACAAATACGAAGCCTATCCATATCCATGAATGGTATTGACAGAAGGGTAGGGACTGAAAATGGCATTTTATTCCATTCAACAATATCAATTTCTGAAGGCGGCAACCTGCATGATTCCATGGAAACAGAAAGTTAAAACCGTACTTTAGAACATTGTCTTGTAGATATTTTTATTCCATACTGTGGAAGAAAATATAGATTTCCATGGAAACAAATAAAAGGCTCTCCTCATGCGTCTTTTGGACAGCTTAAAAAGTGACATTAGTTCAACTAAGAGCAAAAACCAAAATGCAACTAACGAGACATATTCCAACTTATTCGTATTCTCTATTTTTATGTAAGGCCCAACAGGATATAGGCAGAACCAATGCAATTAAAAAGTAAGTTTACAAAGCAGAAGAATGACTATGTAGAGTTGCATCAAAGAGGTTTGACCAATTTATGATCCTGATTCTATGCACCCTGCTGTGAAGCTGGAGGCCTATTGCTCACACTCTGAACAGTGATTGTAAATAAAACTGATAACATATCTTCTGTATAAGCATATTTTTGGGAAATGTAATCACGCAACATCTCGTTTACTTTGACTATTCGATTTTCACACAGACTGAACTGTTGAAGAATATGTCATTTTGTTTCTCCAGGGCAAAACAAAACCAAAACTATAAATTGTGCAGAAGGACTGTGGATAATCACAATAATCAAAATGAGGGAGTGGTTTGTATGCCTCCAAATACATACATTTCTGACTTAAGCCTTCCTTCTTCAAACACTTCCTCCAGCTATTCTGGGGGAATCCTGAGGGGTTCCCAGGCCAGCTGAAAGACACAGTCCTCCCCAACGTGTCCTGGATCATCCCCTGGACTCCTCCCGGTGGGCCAGGAGTCATCAGAATCAGATGCCCAAGCCACCTAAACTGGCTCCTCTCCAATTGGAGAAGCAGAGGTTCTATTTCGAGTTCCTCACCCTATCTAGCCCTCAACTTCTTGTACCCTCAATCTTATAATTTCGACATCAGGGTCCTTGTTCTCTTAAATGCACCGGCAGGCTTAGTCTCAGTAGTATCCAGCTCACATGGTTACATATAGTGTAAACGCGGAAGAAATGGTTCAACCAATGGACTGAAATTTCACGCCCCAACTGCAGCATCTGGGTTTACATGGGTCTTGATCAATCAAATTAAATTTATTTGTAAAAATACTCATTAATTTTGGTACCAGTATTGGTGCATTCCTTGTTGGTACCAGACAAAGACCTCTTGAATGATTCTTATGAACATTAAGGCCTACTTTTACCAATTATAGTGTCAAACTCATCGCACACAGCAATATAATGGACACAAATCAATGAAGCCACATAAATTACAAGATCCGATCCATTAGCATAACACATTCACAGTTTGACATGATAAATGATCAATCAGGGTTTTCGTTAGCATAGATTAGCGACGGCGAAATGTTAGATGCAACACTGACTTTCAAATCAGACGACGAGTGAACCAAGTTAGAGCGAGATGCCATCACAGTGAGCGGGAAATGACTCACGCAGGCTGTTCAGGCCCATAAAAGGGAACAGGAAGTCCCACATTATATCTGCATCTGAGAATTTGTCCTTTTGACTCCTTCAAGATGTTTGCAAGGAGTCAAAAGTACAAATGCTGTTATATAATTGTTGAGTGTCCATATGTTCTTTCTCAACGGTTTTGTGTTAAAGATAGCTAAGTTTTGTAGAAAGAATATCAGTTCTTAGAAGGGGACACATTATGACAAATTCATTAGCATCAATCTGGTTCTAGAAATGATCCCATAGTCTGTCTCTGAGCCAAACTTGGATTCCCATAGATTTGTGCGTGTCTGAGCAATCCTGTGATATCCAGCAGTCTACAATTCATTGCTTACAAATCCATTATCTACCACCTCTCTCCGTTATTTAATCACCTCTTCTCCTGATTAAATAACAAGAACAAAAAAGCACAAATAGCCATAAGTTAACAATATAAACTTTCAAATGTACTTTAGCCTTCAGAAACAAGCAATTGTACATTTTTTATGTTTTAGGGGCAATCCTTTTGTAGAAAAAGGGGTTGTGTTTCCTATAATTTTAGATCAATATTGTGCTTGAACGTAATGTAAAATAATGATTGATGAATATGGTATAGTTATATACTAAACTATACCATTACTGACAACAAATATCAGTGCCAATCCAGGAAAAATAAATGCTTCAGATATCCCTTAGGAACCAGCTTCTAGATCAGAAATTACATCCTGATTGGGTCCTACAATTAATACATAATCTTTACTTGTCTGTAGGTACTTGCAGGACACAATTGGACCCGTTAGCTGTGATTTGAGAGGGGAGAGATACTATTTTCAGTCCTTCGTATGGAATATCTGCACAGATGTGAAAAAGCTGGGTTCATTTGTAAAGACTGTGAACTACATCACTGGGAAAAGTCCTACTAAGATTAAAATGGTTTTGATTCAGGCGACTCCTGGCTGTGGGTCAAAACCAGGGTCTTAAAAGTTACATGTTTTTTCTCTTTTTTTATATGACATGAGTACATCTGAAGATTTTATTTTCACTGATCCATTCAGGAAACGATTTTTGTGATCCGACAAAAGAGTGTCCCTCTGTCCCACGCTGTCCTACACTGTCCTAGATTGTCCTACACGGTCTCACACTGTCTCACCTGGTATCACACTGTCTCAATCTGTCTCACATGGTCTCACACTGTCTCAATCTGTCTCACATGGTCTCACACTGTCTCAATCTGTCTCACATGGTCTCACACTGTCTCAATCTGTCTCACATGGTCTCTCACTGTCTCGCTGTCGTCTATCCTCCGACTCGGGCACACTGGAGTCCAACACTCAAACATCCCTTTTTGGCACCAGTGATCAAGCGAATACCTCGATGAGTGAAGATTAATTGCTCATTTACAATATAGAATGCAATTCATGAAATCACCGGCCACACGTGCAAAGAAGTCTGCACATCTCTGGCTTACTGATGACTGTGGTCAAATCGCAGACATTTGCAATAAGTGTAGACACCATTAGACAAAATGTTAATGTTTTGAGACCTCAAAAGCTGATTCCTGGTGTAATCTGGCTTTGTTCCAGTACATTATTAGGGTTGGTTTTCCACTGACCTCTACACAGGAGACAAAAACTCAGCGCTTGGAGGTCAGTGGAACATGACACACTGGTTTTAAGCACTTTCTTTAGTCCTGCGGGACCCTCACTGAACTTGATCTGAATTGAGTCAGTGTACACCAGCGGTAAAGTGGGTAAAGTGTCTGGCCAAATGATACAACAACAGCTGCCCTAATGTGATACCTAGTATTTCCAGAGATATCCCACCTAAACAGGTTCGATAATTCAATTATAACATCGCCTGAAACATTTTTGGACAAGGTTTGAGACCTGAGAGTCCAATCAAGATTTTGCCTTTCTGATAGTGCTCTCGACCCTTTAGCTTTAAACATCTGCTCAATATGAACCCAATACACTGAAGTGACGGAATGGAGCACTTCCTGCCCCACACACACTTGAAAATTCTTACAAAATGTGCCCAGTTTTGCTTTTTCTGTTACGACATTGTAAACTCCCTTGGACGCTATCCAACAAATGTTCATGGATCGACACTACCATCCAAAACTAGTATCGTACCGGTGAATACAAAGTAAAAAGTCTAGCATTCATATGGATCTGGGTTTGGCCACATGAACAACTATAGAGCAGTTTTGCACAAACATAGAATTGGAATAATATATATCTTCTTTAAGCAAATGAAAAGTGCAAGGACTGAACTGCCAAGAGTGAGTTTGGCCGCTGCATTCCTGCACAGGTCAATACCAGGTCTGAGGGAAAGCTACGGCCTTGGCAATAACAATCAATTATTTACACTTCCATTTACACTCCTGTCAAAGGTCTGAAAAACACCTCAATAATTAATGTGAAAGTAACTTAGTGCCATGAATTAAAATGGGCTCGCAGGAATCCCATCATGGTGCTGTGGACACAGGCTCAGTGTTTGGCTTTGACATCAGGGAAGCAGCTAACGTCAGCACACACTCTCACTGAACGATGGCTGCGAAGGGAGCAGACCGAAGTTCGAGTAAATCACAATCTCTATTACTTTTATTTATCTTCAAGAGAAACTTACTGACAAATGTGCTGTCACCAGGACAACTACGATCCGACATAAATTATCAAGGCACAGTCAAAGTAAAACTGAATGCATGGAAGGCAACGCATAATAGAGAAATATCTTTTATTAAGATGTGTCTCTCATCTAATGTGGTCACAGTGATGGAGAAATTTGGAGATTTTAAAACCACATCACAAACTAAAGAAATGCCTTGGGAGAACTGTTGTCGTGTTGTTTAGACCAGTGTGTATCTATACTGGACTGTGGGAAATGTATAATCTATCGGCGACATATAAACATTTTCTTACATATATTTTCCAAGGACAACTTTATAAAGTAGCACATGCAACCTCCCAAACTCTGACACAGTAAGTACTTCATTCACCTAAACACAGCTCCATGGCTTATAATATTGTCATTGGGATGTGTGTCGCTTTGTAACCTTGGGCAATCAAATTCCCAAATTATTGGATGGATGTAAAGTGAACATATGTTTAAGTTTACCTTGATCAGACATAATCAAAATCAACATTCACAAAAGCTCTTGCGTCGTTGGAAACATTGTGCCTTGAGGAAATCCCGCCGGTTCGGACTCCATTGTGCCCTCTGGCGGACTGCCCTTTCCAGCGTAGCTCAGCACTCAGCCCTGGTCCGGTCCATGTCAGAGCGATCCTCCCTGGTCTAGGCCCTGACTCTCTGCTCTCTGAGCTGTGTGCTGCGGTCCCATGTCTCTCCCTCTGTATGTATGTGTCCTCAGAGAACAATCGCATGAGCGGTATCCTGACCTCGCAGACGGAGCCCTTCGACTTGTCCTTCTCTCGTTCCTTCCAGAGCTTGTCTCACCTGCCACCGTCCTACGAGGCAGCTGTGGCAGCCGACCTCAGCCGCTTCTCCTCCCTCAAGAAACTCAGTAGGTGGCGGTGTCGAGGGTCTGTGCATGACGCTTCCCTCTGCACATCTGCGGCTGCCTGCTCTGTGGGAATGTCCGCCACCTTGCACTAGCATCAAAATGACCTGAATTCAGATGTCTTCATCATTGCAGTGTATCGCAACCGTGGTCCTAAAGACTTAAACAAGTACTAGAGGACAGTATGAAAATGATCCAACAAAGGAAGTATTTGGAATTTGACAATTTGCAAGTTGCCCTTAAGTGTGAGGGGTCCTGAATCTGGTAGTCACTGTGGTGACAAGTTCACAGAAAGAAGTCTAGACGGGGGACTTTCTGTGTAGAGTTTGCATGTTCTCCCTGCTGCTGAGGATATCCTCCTCAGGCCACCGTAAAGACGTGAAAGAATGCAACAACATCATTCTGCATTCAAGAGCAGCTGCGAGAATGGAAACTGAAACTACAACTTTGCGTAGTTTTGTTTGAACGAATGAATGAGTAGAAGCCTACTCCGTGTAGCTTTCAAAGCAAACGTAGCATTAGTTGACCCCTGCCGCCATTGTTGTCTACGTTTGTTCTCGGCTCCTGCGCATGTACGTGGGGGAAGTGGTGAGGTCATAGCAGCAGAGAATTCACACCTTTTTCTCCACAGAGCTGTGAAACAGCCCTCGCTGAGCAGTGTATCTGTCCTGTTCCACTCATTAATTCTCAACGCTTGCGTTTTCACCTAAAACACCGTTAAACGAACGGCCAAACCAATACCCAACTCTTATTTTACTGTCTCAGCGTCCTCGTGTAAACGGCACCTAGTTTTCATCATAGTTACACTTCAACTGAGAAGACAGAATGTGAAAACCTTTAGTCATTCCACGGTTGGGAAATTTCAGTAGCATTCCTCCTCTCCTCATCACGTATCAGTCGTCCTATCCGCTCTCTGCAGAAAACTAGCCCCGAACCATAATGTTTCCGCCCCCATGTTTCACAGTTGAAGTAAATTAAGGATCCCTCTTTTTTAAGTATGACAACTTGCAAAGCAACTGCCAACTACTTTTTTGCCCCACTGTATTTATTTGTTTTTTTGGACATCAAGATAAGAGTAATAACACAATATATCATTGTCACCTTCCCTCAGTGGGGCTTAAGGTCAGGCAATATGGCAAAAACCACTGTGTAAAAATAGAAGCTCAATATTCCTGTTTCAAATCCAGTTTCAATTTCCAAACCAATCACAAATGTATTGTAGATGCTGATGTCACACCTTTAAAAAAAAGTTGTGCTTTTTCTAAACCAGATGTTAATGACTTGTTTAAACTGTCGAGGATCAGAGAAGTACAATATACAAGCCAAATGAAGTCTTCTATCAATTGCCCAGCACTATGGGAGTATATGTAGGGGGTACTTTGAACAAAAACCTCTTAATACAAGTGCAAATCGGATTGGATCAGATCTTGTTCTGATCTCAAATCTGAAACATGTCCTTTTAAGCCTGACGTGGTTCTCAAGAGCATGGAGGTCACTGCACGATGGATGGACCATCACCGACGCCCTGTGGTACCATGGATAAAACACCTCTACAGAAGATAAGGAGGATGGTCCTAACATTTCCTATAGTTCAGAGAGTCGAAAAAGCAACCTTTTAAAAGTTCAAAGGTATTTCTGATTGTTATACCGGTCTGTCATGGCACAAATAATGCCAATGGAAAAGCTACGGGTAATTTTGTGTCTAGCCGAGAGCTTTTGTCTGTATTTTATATACAGTTGCTATGACCTGTACAAGCTGCTTTCTGAAGTCATAACACAACGCCTGATCCACTGTTGCTTGAGGGACCACACTCTTACTGTGTTTTAATGTAGAACTGTAGCTTTCATCTATGTTCCTAAAAGAGCAATTTTCTATACACTTGACAATGCTTGATACCATGATACTTTGTAGTTCCAAGCATTCCCTGGACAACAACAATGTATTTATATAATGTTTAATAGAGCCTTGTTTCAGAATGTAGCAGTTTTTAACATTTCAATATCATTGTGACTACTTTAGACACATATACATCATTACAACTCAGTAAAGACTTATAACCTTGAGCTAAATAGAACCATTAAAGCTTTTGTCTATTTATAGTCAAATGCAGACTCTGTTAATGATATGTGTTGTGTAAATTGTATAAAAAGTAAACAGACCAGATGCGAGTGAAGCCTGCCGATCAGCTGGACCCTCGCAGTGAGCCAGAAGAGCAGTGCGACTCATTGATATTCCGCGCTCCCTCTGTCTCGCCTTAAAACAAGCCCATTTCTCTGGCAGCAGTAACTTGCCCCCCTCCTATTGATTTAGTGGCTCTGCTGGATTCTGCTGCGTAATGAGCTCTCGTCTCATGATATTCTTTAAGTGGAACGCAAATATTCCTTAAGGCTGCTGTAATTCCATCAGGGCTACAGTCCTGGTGAAGGATGATCCTCTACCACACGTACACACAAACTGCACACACACACGTACACACTGCATATGTACAGACTGCACACACATGTACACACTGCACAAACAGACGGGTACACACTGCAAATTTACACACTCCACACACTGCACATGTACACACTCATTGCACACACACACACACAGACACACTGCACAAACACGCGTACACACTGCAGTCATTGCTCACACACACATAGAGACTCAATGCACACACACACACTGCACACACGTACACACTGCGCAGACACACACACTCACACGTACACACTGCACATAGATACACACACGCACATACGCACGCACATCTCACTGCACTGTGCAAACCACGTCCGCAGCTGCCATTGTATCAGCCCAAAACAAAAGGCATTACACCCACCATTTGCATAATGCTTTCTGATGTCTGTTAAATCAGTGTCCTCTCTTTAGTCCCGAAGAAAAACATCCTCCGGCGCTGTCCCCTCTGCCGCGCATTTCTTCCAAAGCAAATCATTTATTTGTGGAAATATGACTGTGTGAAGATTTCTTTTCTCTAGTGTCAGGTGGAGCGGGCAAGGATGGAGCAGCTTATAATAGTCTGTCCATAACGAAGAAGAACGATATCGTTTATTCATGAAAAGTGAAAACGGACACAACACATTTGGATCATTCTCGTCGTAGCATGATAGCATCACAATAAACCGGCTGCGTGTGCTCATCCCTGGAGACTATTTCTCCGCCAGAACATGGAGTTTTGATTGTGTGGTAATGAGGGTTTTTCTCGCTCACGCCCTGGGCTCCGAGTGGACGACACAAGTTTGCCTTTCAAATAATACTCATTTGTATGGCATTAGCTGAGTTATGAGCATAGTGGATGTTATTTGAATGTCGCCATTAGCCGTGATATGGATGTTGCATTGCGTCTTCTTGGTTATCTTGTAAATGTGCCACTGTTTGTCACTGCATGTTGTTGTGTAGCACCGGGGGATGTGGTGTCCGCAGACGGCTCTGTGGTATGATGCATGGTCCACACTGCAGACAGGTGCATTGTGGGGGGTCCTGGAGCATGTGCAGTGGTGCCTTGACCCATGTTCTTCTTCACAGATTGTTGCCTGGGGACTGTCTCGATGTGCTGTGCTTGGTCGTGCTGCAACCATTAAGCAAACAACAATGTTCGAGTCATATTATTGTTTTCTATACACTAAAAATACTCAAAAACAATTGTTTGGCTTTTACCAGGTTTAACACGAGGGGTCCCATAATTCTGAAAGTACTAGAACTCCTGGAGTAGTCATTTTGACAGCTCCCATCTTTTTTAATACATGCTATAAACCGTTAATATAAGTTTAAATACAACAAAGGTTGGTTACTAAATGCTAACTAGAGCTTGGTCAATAGTGATTGCTCTGAACCAGTCCAGAACCAGACCAGAACCAGACCAGAAACAGTCAAATACCAGACAAATACCAGACCAGAACCCGTCCATAACCAGCCTCTTGAGAAAAGTTACTTTCGCTGCCATAGAATGTTGGTTGCTCTGGGAGTTTAATGTAGAACTATTATTTAAAAAAATAAATGTATGCATAGTTTAGTAGAAATAACGACTTCTAACTATCTTCAGACGCTCATAGTGGCCACTGAAGAAGCACAAACTGATTTATACAGTTTGACACTCTGCAAAATTACTAAATTGCCACAAAAATGTGAAATTTCTACAAAAACTTCACTTTACAAAGCTTTTACATGCTTTAGCAGCAAAAAAATGTTGAATGTTTACAACAGCAGGTAGTGGGTCAGTGAAGGAGCTGAACACATACTGATGAAGCTCAGTAGAAGATCCAAGCACTTTTTAAGATTAAAATATACAACATCCGTACATAACCAGGCCGATGAGTTTCGACCCAGAACTGTCTTCGCCTGGACATGTATGTGTCAAAACGCTGAGTCTGTTCATATGAATGAATTTTGCAAGTGCCTTGAATCTTTTATATATTCACTGAGCAGTGTGTGCTTAGCTCTACCGTCTGTTAACACATTCTGACAACGCTGGTCAAATGTCCCACTATAACATCTCAACTCTTAATCTCAATTTATAAAGTGGAAATATTTGTTTGACAAGTATACGAATCAAAATCAGGAACACAAGTATTTGCAGAGGGCACTTTTGTGTGAGTTGTAGCCCTAGTGCTTGGCATGGTCACTGCTGTGTGCTGTGGAGAGCTGTGGAGAGCTGCCGACCTGGATCCTGCATCGTGTGGCTTCTGTCGCTCTGCCTCTGGCCCTGACCCTCCCCCCTCTGTCTGCAGGTGATAAGGACGTGGAGGAGTACTACACCCGCAAACGCCACCTCCCCGACCTGGCTGCCCGAGGCACTCTGCCCCTGCACGTGCTCCAGATGAGCCAAGAGCAGGTGCGTTCACACACTTTGGACATCTGATCTAATCCATTTGTTTTTGTACAGCAACTGTTGTCTCTAAGGTCTGAACAAAAAAATATTGGCCAATAGCAGGTAAGTAATTCAAACAACATATAAAGTAAAAAAGAGAAACCTCAGGTGAGTGCGAGATCCAGTCCCATCAGCGGACAGAGAGTCCATGAGTCCAGGGCTATGGTTTCAGATTAGATTTGCAGGGTCTTGACCACAGGCAGTATACGAATGGACAGAGCATGGTCTATTCTCCTCATACCGTAGACTAGGGGCGCTCACACTTTATCCAAACAAGATCTACTTTTCCAGTCACCGTTGAGCAGAAATCGAGTTAAAAAATAGATACAGTATGTGCTTGTGTAATTTTACATCAACATCAATATTGATTTAGTATGATTTCAGTTTTATAGAAGACACTGGTGTGTGCGTGTGTGTGCAAGGGCTTCTGTGTGTCCCTTCCAGGATGTGTTGTCAAAGCTGCGTAGAGAAGCGGTAGTTCATAAATACATTTTGCTTCTTAACTGAAACTAGTGAGAAACATACATTATTGACAAATGCAAGAGAGAGAGCGGTAGTTTATCGGAAAAAAATGGCGGCACTTTTTTGTCAGACTTCCCCAGTGGCTAAACAGACGGTCAGCACTAGATCATATACGGAATCGGGAAGGAAGCGTAAGTAAAAATAACAAACTTCCTATTCAGGCCTAAACTTAACCAGTCATTCCCATAAAATAACCCCAACCCAGCCTTAACCCTAACCTCTCTTTCCTTCTGTAGAAGGAAAAACGTTCTTAACATTTTTAAATGCTGTAAAATTATGCATAAGTAATATTAAATTTAAACATTTCTGTCAACGTAGTGCGTCATATCCTGCGACGTAGGCCCGCGCCAGGCGGCCGCTATTGTAAACAAACCGGCGTGTGAGCATCATAGACTGTGCGCATGGATCCCAAAGCTAAAAAGAGAAGAGTCGATAATAAGACTGGACTAAGAATGAAAATTAACATTTTCTTTCAGTCAATGAAAGTAGGATTGTTACTTCCGGTTTCGTCCCGATTCCGTATATGATCTAGTGCCAGACCTGGTTCACAAACACTGACTCCCTACAGCATGACACGCAGGTGGAAGAGCCAGGTTATGAAGCAGATTTTGACTCATGGAAAGTCTCCATAGACTGTTTTACAAAATGGTCGTTCTTGCAATAGTAGCGTCAATTTTTACCACTGAACGTTAATGAAAAGGCAATTTTGTTTGACACCCATTTCAGATCTAAAAATACTGAAAAATGATTCAGAAGCGCCCCCTTTTATCCTTGTGGACAGTCTCTGTACTTTGAAGTCTGCATTAAAACAATCTGGTAGTGCCTGTTCATTTACTGTTTCTATTTTGCTAATAGTAAGCTGAAACTTAGTACAGACATATTCCCTGTTGGCGACACCATAAATGTCCCATCAGAATACATTGCAAATGTATGTTGTTATTGGACAAGAGCAGGCATTTGTAATTCCAAAATTGTTCACCTGATTTAGATGGTAATATCCTCAATCCTTTAAACTCAGCATCCTTTCATATCTATTGATGAGTGTAAAGACTCACTATATGCACCTGACTGTGGCATGACGCTCGCTAACCCTGTCCGCTCTGTTCCTGCCCACAGCACCGTGAACCACCACAGCACCAGAGCCAGGCCCCTCAGCAGTCCATGCCTCAGGCCCCGCCCCCTTCGCAGTCGTCTTCCCAGCAGCGCCAGAGGCCACGGCGCGTGCAGAGAGCCATGTCCCAGGACCGGGTGCTGACCCCCCAGAGTGGACCGCAGCAGGACTACAGTATGTCCCCAAACGGCATGTCTCCTTACGGGGGCCGCATCCTTTCTGATGAGCAGCTGCTGTCTGCTGAGCGACTGAGGTCACAGGAGCGTCTGCTGCCCCAGGACCGCCACACGTCACAAGACCGACTCTACACCAAGGACCGCATGATGTACTCCAAGGAGCGCCTGTCCCAGGAGCAGCTCTACCCCAAAGACAGACACTACTCCCAAGAGCGCCTCTACTCCCAGGAGCGCCTCTACTCACATGACCGGCTGCTGTCCCAGGACCCCCTACTCTCCCCAGACAAATTCATCATGTCCCTGAAACGCGGCATGGTCAGCAGCATCTCCAGCGGGGGTTTCCGGGGCAGTGACAAGTCCATGTCCCGCGCCATCTCTCACACTGACGTCTTTATCCCCACCACCCCCATCATGGATCGATACAAGATGACCAAAATGCACTCCCATCCCAGTGCGAATAACAACGGCAGCGGAGGCGGCACGTCAGGGGGAGGTGGGGGAGCTGCTGCTCACTCCAACACTTTAGCTATGACCCAGACAGTCAACAAGAGACAGGCCTTTGCCTCCAGACGGACTCACACCGTGGAGCAACTCCACTATGTTCCCCAGCACCAGCAGCAGCAGCAGGCCCAGACCCAGCACTACCGCACAGGCAGCAAGACTGAGGTGACGGTGTGAGCCGGACTATCGTAGAGGAGAGGACTGAGGAGATGTTCGTGCCCGGACTATCATAGAGGAGCAGGATTTAGGACATTTACAAGTCCGGACTATAGTGGAGGAACAGGACTGAGGAGATGTAAGAGTCCGGACTATAGTGGATGAGCAGGACTGAGGAGATGTAAGAGTCCGGACTAGAGTGGATGAGCAGGACTGAGGAGATGTAAGAGTCCGGACTATAGTGGAGGAGCAGGAGTGAGGAGATTTCTTAGTCCGGACTATCGTAGAAGAGCAGGACTGAGATGTGTGACTACTGCAGGCACTTTGCCAGCCCTGCTGACTGTCTTAGACTGAGGTTTCCTGTAACTCGGGCTGGGAACCAGTAATATATTTTTGGGTACCAGGACATGAACAATTTTTCCTGTTTTTCTTGATTCGGTATCTAGAAGGAAATGTATAATGCCCATACATTTTAGTTCCACCATCTATTTGGAGGGAGGGTGCAGGTTTCATTAAATGTGCGGCCAGAGAACCAACCAGCCACAGCATAAGTTACACTATTTTTGATGTTCCCAGTAGATATTGTTCCAGTGTACTGGTACCCATTAAACAGCCTCTAGCCCTCCCTGTGACATCAGAGACTGGACTATCGCGATGAGCCAATGAGACAGGAGCAGCTCCGTTGTTGAGGCCGCGGCCCAGTGATGGCCAGAGAAGGTCCGCTGATGCCTCCATCCCTGTGTGTGACTCCATCATGGGGCCTCTGCTGTCTGTGTCGTGAGCACTGTGTCTTTGCGCCGCTCTTGTCTTAACAATGTGTCTGTGACCTTTTCTGGCTGATCCAAGGGCTGTGTGCAGAGCAACACCCAGGGGCCCGCTCCACAGCCTGTCATCACTTTATACATGTATAAATATGAGCATTTGTACCCATCCACATAGCTCTAGAATCTCCATGAGACAGACTGACTGATGTCCTGGCAGATGCTCCATTCTAAGAGGTTATGTGGGTTACAAAGCACAATCAGTTAAAGAAAAGATCCATGAGTTCCTTTGCGTTCTAATAGTGATGGCTAGCTTGTTTTGTTCTTCAAGCAATGGCAGGTTCCTTTTTGTTGCCAGTAGACGATTGTAAATACGCTATTTTAGAAGCCGTATTATGGACCAGTCTGTACCAGTTGGACTTTGTATTAGGCTGTCTGTTTTCAATAGAATCTTTCCAAACAACTATAACTCATCAGTGTTGTGAGCTGAGAGTAGAGGCCACCGAACCCAGCAGACAGATCATATACTGTGTGTGAGCTATAGACCAGTGATGGACTATCATGACGCTTGTCCAAGAAGAGTCAAATAAACCATCCATATTTTTGTAAAACCTTCCCTCTGTGTTGTGTCCTTTTGTCTGTTTGCTCACAAAAAAGCACATTATTTGTTGTGACATTAAAAATGATAATAATTAAAAAGTTTGTTGAAGTGACGCATGAAATTAGAGTTTACATCTATACATTTGGAATCAGAAGTTTACATACGCTGTGTAAAATGCAAAGTTATGAACACTCCTGGATCATTGTCAAAGTTAGGGTTAGAGTAGCGTTAAGGTTAGAGCTAGAGTTCATTACGGTTTGGGTTAGGACGGGAGTTGGGTTTAGGGTAAAAGTGAGGGTTATGGGTTAGGTTTAGGATCAACTCTAACAGTGATCCTGGACCGTCAATTAGTTAGTTCATTGGTGATATCAGAGTATCCTTGTAAAATACATACAATTCTGTTTCTCTATCTCCAAATAATCTATAAAGGCAAATGTTTACATACATAAACAAAACGATGTATTCTAACTATGTGGGAAAGAGTTCATTATTTAGCACTGCTGCAGATGTATTTTAAAGCCCTCTGCTTTCTTGTTCGACATGGGATGATGAAAAATAAAAAAACACAGAGATAACAGAAAGGGAATTGTGGATCTCCTAAAGTCTGATTCATCCTTGGTTACGATTTCCAAATGCTTAAAGGAAACACTATCAACAATTACCCAAATACAGACACCATGGGAACGAGCAGCCATAACACCGCTAATAAGGCTGGTACAAACAGCTAGGTTTCAAAATTGTCTGCAAAAATTACAAACCTGAGAGACCCCTACACCGGACACTCATTCTCCTCGGGGAAGATTACATTTGACGAGAGATCAGGCCAAGACAACGCAACATGTTGAATGTCCCGGATCTGAGATGGCAGCTCTCTCAACGTCCGCAGACGAGAAAAGTCTTCACACACACACAGCAGGATTAATTATGAGACCATGTTATGATCAGTGTTGCCACAGATTACTTGAAAAAATAATCCGATATGGATTACTGATTACTCCAATAAAAAGTAACTTTGTTACTTTACTGATTACTTGATTTTAAAAGTAACTAAGTTACTTTACAAGTTACATTAACCAACTTCCAACGAAGCCTCCACTTCCTCAACAAACAAGGACAACTGGTTTTGCAAATACTCGATTTATTGTCAGTGCATTTTATCAGTAACATCAATAATGCATCTTCTGACAATTTAAGTGAAACTTAATAACTGTTCTTATAAAAAAAAATATACAGTCTGGCTTGACTTAATATAAATACGTTTAAAATAAAATATAAAATAAAGACAGTCTTCCTTCAATTCACTTAACTTAAAGACTTATTTTCATAAATAATAAAATAGTTTGTCTTGACTCTTGACTTGCCTTCACTGAACATAAACTTTAAAAAACTTTCTTTACTCAACATCCATAGCTGTTAACATTTAGGAACAGCACTAGGAGTGGTCTTACAAAACAAAACAAGTGTATAACACCACCACCACATGTAATATCTAAAGTCTACTTTTGTTTCTTTGGCCTAATGTTAGGCTTTAATCATATTATGAGTAAAACAATGGAGTGGGGCCAGAAAACCAGTGGTTATACCTCATTAACAGAAGCTTCTCAAACCTCTTGTCACAAAGTCTATTTCTTCTAGGCGTGTGCACCAAACCTCCCAGACTGAAAAGCCGCTCAACAGGAGCACTTGATGGAGTTGGAGTGTTATACTTTAAGAACATTTTCTTTATGTTGGAAAACTGATGCAGAATCTGAAGGTCATAGGCTGACCTCAGGTAGTCCATGACTTCATGTTCTGCAGAGTAGGTCTCCTCTAGCTCAGCCTCAAAGGTGAAAAAGTCCATCTCACCTTGGCTGACAGATGTGGTGGGTACACCGGCAGGGCTCCGTGCTGCAGGCGAAGTGATGCGGCACTCTGCTGTCAGAAGCTCTTTAACTTGCTCTCTCCTACCTGCATCTCTCAACCATCGAAGTTTGAATTTTGGACAACTGGCCGCTGCAAGAAGGGCATCTTTGTCGTCTAGCACATCAGCAAAACGAGTCTGTATAGCCTGAAAAAAAAAAATGTAAAAAATGTATGTTTATGCCTACAAGGCCCACTAATTAGAAGTTCTGCCTAATGTGAGATCAATAATATACATTCAATTATGTTTTAGGTTACTTGCTGACATGTATTTTGTTTTAATCTTCTTTTACAATGAAAATTACTACTCTGTTAAATGTTCATGACTAGTGTAAGAATAAGAAATTAAGAAGATGGAAGAAAACGTGCTTAAAGATGGAACATACCTGCACTATGGCATCTGGAATGCCTGCAGTAATCCTGGAGAGGTCATCTTTCACAGCCAGGGTCTTCTGCATCAGAACTTCAAGTGTGGGCAGTAAAATCCCATAAGGACAGTCGCCTTGCAAAATGTCCAGTGCTACAGACAGAGGTTTTGTGGCAGTACAGTACTCATGAAGGAATTGGTACTCTTTGTCTTTTAACTCCCAGCTTGGTGCACAGAGTATTGAGCTCACTCATGGGTATTTCTGAAATTCTCTTCACAGCATCAAAAAAGGAATTCCACCGTGTGGATGTTGGCACCAGGAGCTTTCTTTTGCTTACTTCCTCCACTATTTCTGATGCAAGGGTAGATTTACTTGATTTTGTCCAAAGTGCTGAACATTTTGCTGTGCTGCTCCTGTACACAGTCTTGCTTTCTGCATTGGTAGTTAAAAATTTGTCTACATCTCTTGTGGAAATTAAGTTTATTGTGTGTGAAGCACACCTGTGATGTGGAGGAAGAAACAGCTCACCTCCATTCCCAGCTGAGAAAATTTCTGATACATCTGAAAAAGTGACATCCTCGTCTGTAGTAGTGGACTCTTCTTCACCCGACTCATCATCGGACTCTAAGACACGCTGATAAACTTTAAATGCCTTCACAAAGTTTGATCCATTATCAGTGACTGTTGCCACTACTTTGTTGAGTAGTCCAAACGATGAGTGAATATTTTCGATTTCTGCACCAATAGCATCATATGTGTGTCTACCGCGAATTCTCTTACATGCTAACGCAGCCTTGTTGCGCTCTAATGTGGATCTACTGATCCAGTGGATCGTTACTCCCATGTAGCTTCTGTTGTTAGCAGTCCAAATATCCGCAGTAGTTGACACAAAGTCGACGTTACTCAGCGCGGCCTTCAGGTTTCTTTCCATCTCTGCGTACTCCTTCTCCAGGTAAGACGAAAAACACGTTCTGTGAGAAAGCTCGGCATTGATAGCAGCAGGGATTTTGTTTATTAAGGCGAGGGCGAGTCAACCGTGTTTAAGGGCAGCATTTCCTCTACAATATAGTGCCCAACCAACTTCTTCAGCTCTCTCCCACTTACTGCACTGAAGTCCAGCTTTTGTTGTTTGCGTGGTGGGGGACCTCATGCCATAGCCTTCGGCGCTGCTGTCTGGTTCTACCTTTATTCTCCTGCTGTGTGAACCATTCACTTGGAGAGAGATGGTGCTGTGTCCAGAGGTTGACATTTTTTGGTCCATAATGAAACTCCCAACGAAACATGTCGTATTGTCCGATGGAACCAGTATACTGTTGGTCCTCCTCCAGTGGTACAGGGGCTTGAAGGTTGTGTGCTGTGTTGTATTGATGCTGTTCCCAGGCCTGCACCTTTCTAGATTGAGGTTTGGCATGTTTTTTCCGAGGTCTTCTATTGAGGTTACCGATCTCCATCTCCTCTCATGCTCCGCACTGCATGCCAAAAATTAATAAATGTATTAATTTGTATTCATATACTTGACAAGAACAATGTAATCATACATAGTTACAGCATGAAAGATGCAACTGATGCGACACATACAGAGTGCTGCTAATGCTAGTTTGCAATTTTCCGTGGTTGAGCTTTGCCCTACAGTGCAACACATCATAGAGAATGAATTAAATAAACAGTTTATTAACATTAACGACATTCCCACCGATATAAAGATACACTGACAACACATTAAAAAAACCAAATCTCTCTGGTATTTCCACCACCTATTGTGGATGCGCTACTTCACAATGTGCATTTGAAAGGGAATGGAAACATTTTACTGCAAATAATATCAAGGACTAAAACGAACCAAAACAATAGTTCTTCACATTACAAAAAGCTTCACTCGTTACATACAGTTTGTGCAACAGCTAAATCCAACTTTTTCTTTCAAATCAACATTCACGCAAGATATCTGGCCCACCCTTCCGCAGACATCCTCCGTTTGACATTCAAATTAAAAATAACGCTTGACTTTTACCGCAGCCGCTGCAATCTCCGAACCTTCTTTAAATTCATGAAAACCGTGACGTGCCATTGTGGGGCAAACAGCACAAGCAAACGCACAATAGATCGTCCCAAATCAGTTTGGATTTCCAATTTACACTGGCCCCGCGTCCCCCCATCAGCATTTAAATGAAAATATGAGAGCGCATCAGAAATAATGCCTCGTCGGAGAAGTGAGATGGGAGTGTAAATGGGAGGTGGGGGTAATGTTTGCCCATCATAAAATAAACACAAGTTTTTGAACACACTTGGGCACAATAGTTTTCACATTCCATTATCGGCTGCTTTCCGTTCTGGGCCACAGCGCTGACTCTGCCGGTTAAAGATTTACTTGGCACAATTTATCTCCATCTCTGAGAAGCAAACCGAGAGCGAGGTGAGGAACAACGCCTCTACTCTTGGGCTTAAAGGAATCAAGTAAGATTTAGATTTTAAATTGTATAAAGGTGGACGATTTCTCTCCATGAGGATCAATTCCTGCAGAGAGGTTTGTTTTTTGTACAAAAGAAGTTTTATGTACAACTACAGTTAGAGTAGGGGCGACAGTAGCTCAGTTGGTAGAGCATTGGCCTTAGAGCCTGAAGGTCGTGGGTTCGATCCCACCGTAAGACCTACTTCACAACTCCCACTGATGACAGCTGTCGTTGTGTCCTTGGGCAAGAGACTTAACCCCACTTTGCCTGAAGCCCCCACTGAAAGATCTCAGCTCCTGTGGACTCACCACCTGCAGGAGGATCAGTGAGGGGCTGGTGCTCTGTGGACTGGGTTCAGAAATGGATTAAGGGGAAGAAAATAGATGGATGGATGGATACAGTTAGAGTAATACAGGGAAAGTTATGAGTGTCAGAGATAAACAAGGAAGGACCCAAAAACAGAACGGCAAAAATAAAATAATCGAATACATTTCACAAGAAAATATATCCAAAAGTAAAGTCCAGAAAGAAGACATGGCAAAAAAAACAACAATGGACCTGACAACAAGAGAACAGGAGAACAGGGTCTAAATACACACCGGTAGACACAGGTGTAGCACTTCAGGGTGGGGCAAACGATCAACGAGACAGACAGAAAGTAAAACTCACAACAAGAGAAACAAAAAATAACAAAATTAAACCAGATTAAAGAACAAGACGGCTTTGAAAGTGTCCTCATGTCTGGTTCAAGCCCCGGTGATCCAAGATGGCGCCCTATTCAAATGAATGGCTTGTGCTCAGTAGGGCATGGGACGTCACGGGGACCGACTCCCATGATGCCTTGCGCCAAATACGCGTGTGTGGCTCTTATGCACGTGCACAGAGGGGCTCGGTCGCGCTTTGACTAATCCGAGCTGCTGATCAGAGCAGCGGTAGAGCGGAGTCAGAGCGCGGAAGGAAAGGGGCAGAGTTTGTGGCAGTAAAGTGTGGATTTAAAGAAAACCGAAGGATTTAAGAAGAAAAAAGTTCAAAATGACAAGGGACACTAAAATCCCCACAAAATACGATCTTTATGAAAGCTATAGGTTCTCTGTCAGCTGAGGTTGAGCTGTTTTAGTTTTTCATTGAGTTCTATGGGACTTTTTTCAAGATCCATGGTCTTGGGCCTCCAGCAGGTTCTCGATAGGTACTAAAGTTCTTGCCTTGGTGTTGGCTTAAGGGCATGGGTAAGGGCTGGTAGAGGGCATGGGTGAGGGCCTTGGTGATGTTGGGTTAGGGGCATGGGTGAAGGCCTTTGTGTTGGGTAAGGGACCTTGGTGTTGGGCTGGTTGAGGGTAAGGGTCAGCTCCTTGGTGTTGGGCTGGGGCATGGGTGAGGGCTTTGGTGATGTTGGGTTAGGGGCATGGGTGAAGGCCTTTGTGTTGGGTAAGGGACCTTGGTGTTGGGCTGGTTGAGGGTGAGGGTCAGCTCCTTGGTGTTGGGTTGGGGCATGGGGGGGGGGGCCTTGGTGACGGGTTGGGGGCATGGGTGAGGGCCTTGGTGTTGGGTTGGGGGCATTCATGTTAAGGAAGCAGATACGGTGTTCATTCAAGGCCAGGCTTAAAGCACTCTACTTTAATTTAGCATACAGTTAGGCTGTTTGCCTGGATCGGTTTGCACACCTGGTGTGCAATCCATGAATCTTGGTGCTGTAACCTAGGCTAGCCTAGCCGTGGCTGCTGCTGTCTCACCTCCTTTCAGATACGCTCTCTTTATTCAAGGCTAGGTTTAAAACTGTAGGGTGAGAAAATTTCGATATCACACATAACTTAAGTTATGTACCTGATATCGGAGAATTGGATAAAAACAACCATGTAATAAATACAATAATTGATAATAGCTTTATTTAGGGGCACCAGGGAATAACTCCCAACTGATAACGTGCATATGACGTCACAATATCAAATAATTGGCTCATTTATTGATTAAGTAATCTCATGAGTCCTTTCATTATTTAATTAGCTAATTAGTCCAATTCTCTTCAATAGAATCTGAAGGTAGTGAATTCTTTTACAAATCAGTGACCCAATTTCTGGAGTTAAAAGTACAAATATCACTTTCAGACAAAGATGGTTTTGTAGATGTAATTAAGTATACACAATACAGACTAGATATGAAATATGCAAATTGTCAAGAATAACATGAAGGAAACGTTGATTTCAAGATACATTGTTAAAATGCTAGGCTACAGTGAGCTAAGCAAGACCTTTGTCTATGAATGGATTGGTATAGGCTGAGGCCTGCATGTGTTCAGCCTTGAAGATTCAACCTGAAGCCTCCAGCTTCAGGTTGAAGCTGGAGGCTATTGAAGGGTTGTGGAAGTCCTCTCAAACGTGGAGCTGAGGTTTGAGGCTATCTAAGAGGCCCAAGGCCCCTTGGTTGCCTAAGCAGAGCCCAGGGCAGAGCCCAGGGAGGTCTGGTCACTCCGTCGTTCCAAAGCAGACTGGTTTGTCTTCCCTTGTTGTAGAGTCGTTGGGGGAAGGGTGTTGCCATGGCACTTATCTTAAAACATTCTTGCCCACAATAAAACCTGAACCACAAGGATTTACACACAGTTGAGACAGAAGTTATAATATGTCTCAATATACAACAAAATGTCTTTGATTGAGGAAAGAGGTCATTTTAATTTATCCTACAAAACAGTCCTCTTTAGTTTAGCATATGGCTAGGAAGGTAAGACTCAGGGAAGGCTAAACTCCTCAGACTGTCAGTCAAGCTGCATAGGGAGTCAGTTTGCTGGGAGAAGTATGGAAACTGGAGCACTATCCTTTCCTCCTTCCTGCTTTATCTGTTTAGCATTATTTGGATTTTGTAGTCTGTAGTCTGTTCATTGCTATTCACCCGTTGTCCCATTGTCTGTTTCATGGTACGATGACGGGACCTCTGGACCTGACCTCCTCCATCTACACTTGCGGACCCGCCTGGGAGTGCTTCAGTCCTTCACCGGACCTGTCCACGTTCAGCGGCCACTGGTCCACGTTCTGTAGCTAGCTTAGGTCCTAGATCATTAGCCTGTCTGTCCAGAGGAGCGGATCCCTTTCTAAAATGGGTCTCCCTCCCTGTGGGTTTCCCTAGTTCTCCTCGAGTTTTTCCTTGTCGATGCAGGAGGGTCTTGTTGGACAGTTAGTGTCCAACAGAAAGGATTGGTGATGATCAGGACACTTTAACATTCTACAATATGTATGGACATTTTCTTCTGTGTGTGCTTTATATTTTTAATGTGTTTTAACTGTTGATTCTCTGATCTGTGTTGGTGATTTCAATGGTTTTGTTAAGTCTCTGAGATGACTTCTGTTGTGACTTAGGGCTATACAAGAATGAATTGTATAGTATTGTATGGGTAAGGGCTTTGGTGTTGGGCTGGCTGAAGGCAAGTGCAGCACCCGCATCTGAAATCTGTCTGACAGTGACTTCTATGGTTGCAGCACGCGTAGTATAAGGCAATAACGGTTTTAGTTTGTCTACGCTTACACTGTCAACAAACTCGACGGCCAGGTTTTTGTAGAAGGGACTCTGCCTGTCAGCTACAGTAACGTACCTTTTGATGTCACCGTACCCTTTCAGAGTATCAACAATGTCTTCCTCTGCTTGAGTATTTGTTACACCACTGACAGCAACTGTATGAGCAACATTCATACCAATTTTTTCAAAGTAATCCATTTCTCAACTCAACAAAAAAATCCAAGGGAATACACACACACACAATCTAACAGCTGTACAAATATTACATACACTATCAGACTCCTGGCTAGCTCGCCATTTGTAACGCTAGCTAGTGGCTACGCAAGATCTGACTTTGGCTATTAACGGAATAGCAGTGTAGTGAGCAGAAGAGGGTGGATCGGCAAGGAGCCTGAGGTGCACATAAAGACAACTGATATCTACGTGATAAAGAATTGTATTATAATAGTCCAACAGATGAAATATTATTGCACACAAAAAAAACCCATACACCAGATTGCAGGTGTATGGAAAAAAACAGGTTCCACCACAAAGTCTGTAGGTAAAAGTCCAACAAAAAAATGCTTGCTACTTGCAAGGCTATTTAAGTTCCGCTCGAGGAGGATGAAAAGAAAAGTAATCCACAAAAAGCGTGTAGGAAGCAATAGACAGTTTGTCCTACCGCGTCGTTGTCTAGCTCGCCATTTGTTGAGTCGTGGTGTAGAAAGGCTCAGTTCATTGGTTCAGAGCGTTACATCTTGCTTCCTTGGTGTTACTGGTTTCAGTGGATAAGCACTAGAGCTACATGTGACCCGCATTTCATTACCATGATTAACATGCTTAACTGAAACGGCTTTAGTGTCTGACTTTTATTTTGTAAGCCAACTTCCCCCAAAAGCGCCCGTCTCTTTAACTATCAGCTGCGCGCATCTCCTCCCCCCCTCCCGTCTCCGTTGTGGCTGCAGCATTGACAGACGGCATGTGAGAGTAGACTTGCTGAAACTCTCCAATCGCGCATTATTGACACTTCATAATTAGAGCCGCCATGTTCTTTTAAGTAGCGGGCCATGCATGGTGTGTCGTGTTTGCCCCAAGTTACTCAGGTCAGGTTTTTGTAATGGGATGGACTAACCCAATGAACTGAGCCTTTCTACACCACGACTCAACAAATGGCGAGCTAGACAACGACGCGGTAGGACAAACTGTCTATTGCTTCCTACACGCTTTTTGTGGATTACTTTTCTTTTCATCCTCCTCGAGCGGAACTTAAATAGCCTTGCAAGTTAGCAAGCATTTTTTTGTTGGACTTTTACCTACAGACTTTGTGGTGGAACCTGTTTTTTTCCATACACCTGCAATCTGGTGTATTGTTTTTTTTTGTGTGCAATAATATTTCATCTGTTGGACTATTATAATACAATTCTTTATCACGTAGATATCAGTTGTCTTTATGTGCACCTCAGGCTCCTTGCCGATCCACCCTCTTCTGCTCACTACACTGCTATTCCGTTAATAGCCAAAGTCAGATCTTGCGTAGCCACTAGCTAGCGTTACACAAGGGTCTGGGCCTTGTTAAGGGTGTGGATGAGTGAGGGCCTGTGTGGGCTCTGTGTTCTTTCTATTGCATTTGAGGACGTTACGCTGTGATCTACTTCAAATCCCAAAAGACTCTGAAGGAGTTTCAAAATATAAAATGTCCCAGATTCCTCAGTAATTTTTTGTTTACTGGGTATTTTATTTTCAATGTAAAGCCAGAGCTAGCACCGCGAGTGACATACACAAAAATAAAGTAAAAAAGTGATCTACACTTTCATGTGTGGTTATTATTCCAACTTGCAGCAGGCTATCAAATGCATCTTGTCCCAGATCTATCTCCTGAGCATTTGTGGGAGCAGTGAAGTGGCTGTCTGTGTGGAGTGAAGAGGAAAATCCAATTCCAGGCGCTGCGTTTGAGTGCCTGTGAATGGCTGTTCCGTCGTTCGCACTTACGCCACTTCTGCGGCACTACCGGAGACATTACATCCCCGCTCTCCACCAAATTGTGTCAAGGAGAAAGCCTGGCAACATTATCTCATCATATTTGATCATATTTGACTTTAAGACAGCGCAACGAGCAGTTAAAAGGAACATGAGCAAATTGGAGTGAGCGGTCGGGTCACTAAGGCCAGGGTACAACATTCCAGCACACACAGCACTGCAAAAAGTGATAAAAATAAGTCAAACGTTGCTCAAATCTGGCAAAATGTCTCTTAATTTGAGAACATTTTGACTGCCTTAAAACAAGATTGGCAAATAGGACAATTGTTTTGAAAAGACACAAGAAATGTATCCCTTGGAATGTGAAAATTAAGCAACAGTTCTTGATATAAGATTAAATGGCTTTGTGTCATTTACAAGTCAGAATGAACTCAATTTTAGATTTAAAAAAAAACACTTGATTCAAGAGATCCAATCCAATCCATTTTATTTATATGGCACATTTCTTAAAATATGCTGTATAGTAAAGTTTGCAAAGTGGTGAACAGAGATAAAATACATTTAAATATTCAGGTTTGCCAGCCTTATGTAGAAACTAATAGAAGTAACATTATGCACAAAGTAAAAACAATACAAATGAAATAAAAACAATGAAACACCAGATAACAATAAAAATGTGATAAAACAATTAAATACCAGTAATCCAATTTAAAAATAAAAATAAAAACAATAAAACCAAAACAAATAAAAAAAGGACCACAAGCCAGGGAATGAAAATTACCTCATATTTTGTCATTTTTCACACTTTTCACAGAAGTGTTGGTGGTGGGAAACTATTCTAGCCACAGCTGCCCTGGGACAGACTGGCAGAAGTGGGTATACCACCACTGCTCCCATCAACCAACTACTTATGCACCAGTTCATCTACTCTTAAAAACACAGAATAATATAAACGTCAGAGCAGAAGCACGTGTGCAGAGAGTTGAAACACAGGATACGGACGCACACATACATCCTGATTGTACAATGTAACAACAGCAAAGGACAAAAGACACACAATGTTTACAA